GCAGGAGYTGCAGGGATGCGGGACAGGACTGATGATGAAACTATGTGGTTTCATCAAATCCTTCCGAGTTTTAGAAAATGCATCCTCTGATGTGAAGTGAAGTGGCTAATTTTTGGTGGGGGTGGTGTAGTATCATCCTTCGCAAATGTGCTGCCTGGGAATGTTGTGACAAAACCAAACCCCAAGCTTACCTTTCCAAAAAAGGCCCAAGTGAAATGCTGTGGATGTTCAATTTGGTTTTGCAGCAAAGCTGCTGGTGCATTCAGGCTGGGGAACAGCTCTGGTCGGCTCAAATGATACTCATTTTGGATCARTTGTTTATCTCAGTCCTTTTGCCTTCCCGGGGCTGCCCCATAACCACAACTTGCTGCATGCCTTTTGATGGGCAATCCTTGGAAGCCCCAGCCTGTGGATGCCATCTCCCCCTTATTCCAGCCATGCCAGCCCTGTGTCAGGCTGTCCCATGTGACAATGACCCCAGTGCAAACTGCTGGGGACTTGCTCTGATCCTGCCCCGGTGCTGCCAGCTTCTGGCACTGCCACAAATCTGGCACTGCCCCTGTGAAAGCAACAGCACCACAGCGGGATCTGCACCCACYCCTCTCCATCCCTGTCCCAGCAAAAGCAGCAGCACCACAGGCAAACCCACACCCAGTTCTCTCCATCTTTCCTGGCTCTGTGTCATGCCCACTGTCCCTGGGAGCATTTCTGGCTCCCGGGAGGCAGAGCATTCAGAGGGCATCCAGCAGCTGAGAATGAGGACCAAAAATGAAGGAAGTAATATAGGGGAACAAAATGAAATGAAGCAATTATCCCTGCTCTGATACTTTCTAATTAAGGAAAGTGTCACCCTTATTAAGAGGCCATTAATTCATTGTCATAAGTCACCACCAGAGTGCAAGATCCAAAAACGTGCCTGGGCCATGGGGAGTGGAGCAGCTTCCCCTCCTCCTCGCACCACAGGCTCCAGCCTGGTCGAGAGCTGCTGCTTGAGGCCACAGGGCTGCTCATGGATTTCTGCAGGCAATGTCCCCACACCCTGGGCTGTGCTTTGGGAAGCTGCCCATTCTGCCACGATGCTCAGCCAATCCCAGTTCCACCYGCATCCCTGGGACTGCACGCTCTGCCCTGCATGGTCCAAATGCATTTGTGCAAAGCATGTGGTGAGTTCTCAGCAGAGATCAGCTCTTGGCTGGTTTGAGGAACCAAATCCCCAAAGAGTTGCCCAAATATCTCCAGCCCTGCAGTCAAGGCCAGCATTTTCCCCTGCATCACCTCCCATTAACAGCCAGCTCTGTCTTGGCAGTCTCTCATTACGTATTCTGCATGGAAGGCCCCACATCAGCTTAATTAACAAGGTAAGAAAAACGGGACCTTTGAGGAAATCTTAATTATATTATCCATCTCACCCTGAGTGACACCTGATCCATCCCAACACTGTTTTCAAGTTCATTAGCAATAAATCAAGATTGATTAGTCCTGGATGTGCAGCAAGAACATAGTGGGGAAGAAGACTTCTGCTGCCATCACTGTGAGACTCTGTGTGTGTGTTCCCAAGCCTTGCCTTGTCCTCCAGCACCAGGCAGTGGGATGAGGACCAGGGCTATGGGGTGAGGCWGAGGGAGGTGTGCCAGTGCTGGGATGTGGCTGCTGAAGCATCCCAGGAGTTGCTGTTTCACTGAGCCACACGCTGGCTCCTCTCGCTTCCCTGGGGTGCTCTGACTTGGAGCAGCACCCAGGCAGCTCTTTCAGGCTGCTGCACACTTCCAGGGATGAGGCAGCCACAGCTTCTCTGGGCAATCTGTKCTGGTGCCTCACCWYCTTCACAGGGAATAACTTCTTCCCAATATCCCATCTTACCCTGTYGTCTGCCAGTYTGAAGCCATTCCTYCTTGTCCTGTCACTCCATGTCCTTGTTCAAAGYCCCTTTTCWGCTCTCTTGGAGCTCCTTTATGCACTGAAAGTGGATTTAAGATCTCCCCAGAACCTTGTCTTTTCCAGCTTTACCAATCCCAGATTTCTCAGCCTATATTCATTGCAGAGCCTTTCAACGCTCCAGCCCTTGGAGCATCTTTGTTTTCATATTCTGGATCCACTCCAGCAACTCCACATCCTTCTGATGCTGGGATCCCCAGAACTGGGGGCAGCAGTGCAGGTGGGGTCCCTCCAGAGCAGAGCAGAGCAGAGCAAAGCAGAGCAGAGCAAAGCAGAGCAGTGGGGAGAAGCTCCCCTCCCTGCTGCCACAGTGCTGGGGATGCAGCCCAGGACAGGGTTGGCTTTCTGGGCTGCCAGCACACCTTGCTCATGTCAAGTTTCCCATCCAATGACTAAGAGTGGCTTCTAATCCTCCCTGAGCACCTGATGGGATGACAGGGTCCTAATTAGATCCAGTGTGCAGTCCACCAGGGACAGGCATTCCAATTTAAACTGGCTCCAACTCAGCAGAGCCCATGGCAGGCGCTGCCACCCCTCTGCCCAGCACACTGTGTGCCCCCAGCCCACTCAGACAGGGACAGCTCAGGCTGCCTTCAGCACCCAGAATGAATTTCAGTGTTGGAGGAATGGGGAGCATTCCGTGCATCGGAGCCACAATCAGCAGTGTTTCAGAGCTGGAGGTGTTTACATCATCAAGCCAGGCTCAGTAATTACTCACACAAATTTGCATGCATTTTCTATGGGCATCTCTGCTGGCTTTTTTATTTTCTGCTTGAAAACCTTGCTGGAATCTGCAAAGTGCCTCTGCCATTGGGAAGAGATTGCTGGATTGTTCCTTTCTAAGACAAGAAGGCGCTGAACGTAACTCCTGATGCCAGTGACACATTAGTCTGCCTATTGCAAAAAATTTCCACCAAATAAAGTGGCAAAAAACTTTATCAGGGACAAGAGTTGTGGCCATTGCCTGACCCTGTGCTCCGGTGCTGCTGCCTCCATCCTCCTGCCTGCTACAGGGGACTGACTGATGCTTGCTGAGTTTTTTTTCTGTTTACTTTAATTGTTGTCTGGTTTTAATATTGCATGAATTGATTCATCTGTGTTTCATTGTCGGTGCTGTTTGTTTTGGGGCAGTGCCTGGAATATCGCTGGCAGATAAGTGCTGGACAAGTAGAAGGTATTTTTCTTGCTCAGCAAAAGCTGAGGTGTGACCGAGCTGTGCCTCAGTCCGAGAGGATCCTGAGCAGCATCTGCCTCCAATTCCCAGGGTTCTGGTTCAGCACTCACCACCCCAGGTTCTCGCCTGTGAGGAGGATTGTGTTTCCTTGGATCCACCACACAGATGGATTTCACTCTACGCCCAGAGCTACTGAAGGCAAAAAACCATGCCAAGGCTGCTGTGGATGCATCTCTGCAGAGTCCTGAGTGCCCCTCAGACAAGCCATGGGCATTAGGTGGCACCAGACACTGCCMGAGCAGCAGTTCACAGACTCCCTGGACAGATGCTCTGCTCTCTCCATCAACATCCTCACCAGGACAAAGACACAGAGCAGGAGACTGGGGATGGGGCAGCATCGTCCTGCCTTTCCTGTGAATGTTGTGTCACCCAGTTCCTCCAGCCCCATCCTGTGCCGGTGGCTCTCACAAAAACACCTGAGCAGGGGTCATGCCTGGGRCTYYRGCYGAGTGCAGTTTGTGGGGTTTCTACYTTCYTCTGTRCCTCCTTTCTTCCCTGCTGAGGAGCTGGAGGGTGCCWGAGCATCCTCAGGAGCACAGCAAGGGGCAGCCAGGCTTTGGGGCAGGATCTGGGGGGAACCCTGACATTTCCAGGGGGTCCGGGGCAGCACCAGCACTGCTCTGTGCACCCCAGCTGCATTCCAAACCAAATCTCCACCAATTTACTGCATGATCCCAGCTGGAGCCCGGCGGAGCCGTTTGTCCCTGTGCAGCTTCCAGGCTCTGGAGAGAAGCTCAGCGTCTCCCTCTAACGATGTGCAGACTCCCGCAGCCGCCCCCTGCTCTCCAGGCTTCTGCTCCCCCGGCCACCCCACAGCCCCCCACCGCCCCACCAGGACAGAAACAAACCCCACAGAGGGGAAAATGGGTTTTTTTTTTGGTTTTTTTCCCCCTGGTTTCTTTTTCCTTTTTTTAATACTTGATAAATTCTCCCAGCTCTGCTGCTCGTGAGTCTCCACTGAGGTGAGAAGAGCAAATTTTGCTGCATATTTGAAAAGGTCAGCATGGAAACAGGAGGAAATTCTAATTCCTGCGTCCTGGGGCGCTGGGGGCAACACAGAGCAAAGCCCTGGAGCTGCTTCCCTGCAGACGGAGCTGAGGGTCACAGACCCCTGACCCACAGGCAAAGAGGGGAGATGTTGGCGGCATGGTCTGGGTCACTCTGCTGCAGGCACCAACCAGATTATGCCTTTCTGGAGAAAATCTAGATTTTGGAAATTTGGAGGCTTCACCTTCAGCCCAGCACAGAGGGATTTAAGGCTGTAGACATCTCCTGAGCATCCCCAGGGAGGACCGGAGGGAGTAAACTTGCAGTGCAGGTTTGGGTGTGGGAAGACTCAGAAGAGCAGTGAGTTAAAATAACAGTCTCTAATTTATTACCAGCAGAGGAGCAGGCGGGTGAGTGCCCAACTGGGGGGCACCGTGACTGCCTCCACATCCAAATGCCCCGGGGGTTTKGGGGAGCTGCTGTTTTTGGAGCCCCAGGACCCACAGCCCTACCCTCATCACCTGAGGTGGGATGTGGGGAGGTGAYAGCATCCATCCTGGCCCCAAATCCTGTTTTACACACGGATTTTCCTTATTTTCCCTTAAGGGCAGTCTGTAGCTCTGTAAGGGAGAATTTGGGGGCTGGTGGTATAAAACAGCAAACACTTTCACCTTAATGATAGTGAAGGTTGTCAGGAAGGTGCCTGGCTTTGGTGGCACCACTGCCAGGACAAGAATCTGCCAGTGCCTGGACGAGCAGAGCTCTGCAGAGCTGGTGGGAGCACGGAGCAGAGCAGGGCTGGGCATGGGGRCTGGGGAGGATCTGACCCCCAGTGACCCCCAGCATCACCCTGGGCAGCACCCAGCTCCACCTGGCAGCACCCAGCTCCACATGACAGCACCTCTGCCTGCTCCCCCAGCCCCTGCAGGGGCTCCCCTGCCTGCCCACAGGTGAAGGATGAACTCCTGGCACAGCTTCCTCCAGGCCATGACACCCTCCTGGCGCACCCATCCTGCCCTTACTCACAGATTTTCCAGCCCTGGTGACTCAGCTCCCTTTTTAACTCACCAAGTGGAGCTGGGTGCTGGGGTCTTGGCCCCGCTTGGAATTTTTTTGGCTGGTTGTATCATCTCATTTGCTACCGATAACGTCACCTCCCCGGATGCTGGAAGACAGCCCAGTCTGATGAGGAAACCAAAGCTCCCTAAATAAGCTCCGAGGCACGGACACAAGTTGCCGGGTGCTGGGATGTTGCCCAAGTGCATAATGCTTCAGTGTCCTGCACATGGCTCCGTGCTGTCCCTGGAACCTCTGCATTCCCTTTCTCCACAGTGCTGAGCCCTGCCTGTTGCCATCTCCTTTTTTTTCCATTTCTTTCCCTGCGAATCGTCAGGCTCAGGTGGATGGAAGTTCATCATCTGTCCCAGCAGCTGGTTTGCTGATTTTCCTCCAACCAGGAGACATGTCCGCTGGAAGAAACCTTCCATCCCTGCACAGGAATGTATTCCTTTAAAAGAAAGAGAAGGAAGAAGCAGGAGAGGAGCCCCGGAGTGTCTGGGAAGCTGTCTCTTCTTATTCCAAGCGTGTGGCTCAGGTCTCGTATCGGCGCTGCACAGCCCATCCCAGCGGAGCTCGGTTCACAGTGTTGGTGAAATCTGCCAAACAGACGGATCAGCTAGGAGACATTTCCAAAAGAAGCTGGAACAAGGTGGGAGAGGAAGGAATAAACGGCCTGCAGGGTAGCACCTTGCAGCTCACCCACTGCCAGCCCCAGAGGATCTCTTCTTTTCAAAATGCCCCAGACGGATTTTGGGCTGCGCGTGGCAGCCTGGCCCTGTGCATCACAACTCACCCCTGTGCTCTCCGAACTGCACCACAACCCCTTCCCATGCCCTACAGCCCCTTTCTGTGCGCCACAGCCCAGCCCCAGAGCCTCCCCCTGCCCCTCGGCCCTACCTTGGCTGAGCAGCTGCAGGTTCCGCACCTCCTCTCGCACCTGGAGCTGCAGGACCTGCTGCAAAACCTCCTGGCGCTGCGTCTCCAGCACGATCCCCATGCGCTGCAGCTTCTCCCCGTTCAGCCGCAGCAGCGCCCGGCCTGCAAACACGGCATTGCTCGGTGCCCAGCCAGCCCCGTGGGTGGGATGGGGGGATGACTCCAGGAAAGGGTGACGCAAAGGGGAGCCCATCAGCATGCAGGAATGAGGAGGGAGTGCTCTCTCACTGTCTGGAGTAGGGCATGGAGTGACAGGACACAGGATAGGGTTAAACTKAATATTGGGAAGAAATTCTTCCCAGTGAGAGTGGGGAGGTCCCACAGGTTGCGCAGAAAAGTTGTGTCTGCCTCATCCCTGGAAGGGTTCAAGATCAGGCTGGACAAGGCTTTGAGAAGCCTGGTCTAGCAGAAGRTGTCCCTGSCCATGRCAGGGACATGGAATGAGATGAGSTTTGAGGTCCCTCCCACCCCAAACCATTGTGGTTCGTGACCTCAGTTCCAGAGAGCGCCGGGTGGCAGCTCATGTCCCCAGCCTGTGACAGGTACCGGCACCGCAATCCTGTAACCCATCCCCGCAGGCGGCAGCTTTCCATTTCTCCGCTCCACCTCCCACACGAGGAGATGTTTTCCGAGCGCCGGGTCCCCACGCGGGCGGGTCGTCCCGGGGGAATGGGGGTGCCCATCACAACGCATTAGCGCTGCGGTCCCGCCGAGCCACTTTYCTCCAGTCTGGGGCTATTAGACGAGGGATTTTCAACCAGCTTTTGTCCTTGCTTCCCAGCGTACACTCGCTCGCTAATGCTGCCTTTGTTGCCGGAGCAAGGGCTGGCTCAGCTCTTGCATTAGGRTTTTGCATCCCCTCCGGGCAGCTCCTGCCCTCCCTTCGCTGTCCCCTGGCCCTGGCAGAGCTCAGTCTGSTCTTGCACATATTAAAGGTGGACAMGAATGRTGCTCTCACACAGAGGTCAAAGCCACAGTTTCCAGAGAGCAAAGGGGAGAGAGCAGGTCCTACAGAGTCTCCTTAAAGGGCTTGGTTGGGAGTTGGATTCAGACCTGGACAAAGACCTTTGCAACKTGGACTTTGACTGAGCAGAGATTTTTCTCTTCTGCAAAAATTTCAGTATTTAAAAAACCTTAAGAATACTATTATCATATTAATCTAGGCGAAGAGAAGATACTTCCCCATCTTATAAATCAGCTAATTTTAAAGAACATTCAGCCTTTCCTGGAGCTCACCCTGCTGGGAGATGCCTCCTGTCCAGCCTGGGTTGGTGTCACCATGTCCCCTGCTCTCACCCTAGCTGTAATTCATGGGGAGAGGGGACAGAAATGGGGGGTATGTCCATCTTCTGAACCACAGACCTCCAACAGCCTTTCCCAGRAGCACGTGCTAATGGCAATAGGCTGGCAGTGAACTGGGGGACACTGTACCTGTGATGGCGTGGTGGGAGAACGCCTCGACGTAGACGAGATAGTTGTGTGGGCAGTGCTTCTTCAGCCATTTGCACACATCCTGCTGGGTCCAGAGCACCACTGGCTTGACCAGGCTGCCCAGCGTGGGGCTGGTGTGGTAGATGCCATAGTGGTCACAGCCACGGACCTGAGGGGGGTGGGAGGGAAGGGCATTAGTGGGACACAACCCTGTGAGGAGAAAAAGCCAGTGAGGTTGTGGAGGAGAGCAGGAATGGGTGAAAAGCCAACCCCACCAGATGTTGGTAGGACAGAAGTCCCCAGGAAAGCAGCCAGCAGCCAGCTGGTGCTCTGGAGCAGGAAGGAATCTCCCTTTCTTTCCATCTCAACCACCTTCAGCCCTGAGCAGACTGGCCACAACGAGGTCCTGCAGCCTTGGAGGTACCTGAGGCCACCTCTGAATCCCACAGATCATTCTTAGGGTGCTGCCATGCCCACAGACACCCAGGATAAAGCAGGGTCACCGTCCCCAGCACCCCAGCATGCCCTGGCCTCCACCACCTGCTGAGCTGTGCCATGCACGGTACCAARTTATGTACATAGGGAGACAGAGCTTGGATGACAGCATCCCTCCATCCCACCTTCCCTCCCTCTGCAGCAGTGGCCAGGMTCACTCTGAGCCACCCAGTCTCACCCTGAGCCACTTGGCAGCGCCATTCYGTCTCCCACATCACAGCTACTCTGKCCTCRSAAGGTTGTTGCAGCCTGGATTTATCTCTCACAAAGCAAATCAAACATCTTGAGCTGTAACTGTGCAGGGGAACAAGCCTGCTTCTCCTAGGGAATCCTGCAGGTTGGCTGGGAAATGTGGCTGGAGGATGCAGGAATTTCCTTTTCCCTGGAGAGATTGGTGAGCTCTCCACTAGTGGTGATGCCGAGATTTCCTCCTTGAGCAGCACCAGCAAACGTCGCTGCTCCAAAGCATCCACTTGCTGGAACTGTCCTGAGCTGGATCACAACCAAGCTGGGGTGGAAAAGAGGACCCTGCTTCCCACAACACAAGGGGATTGGACTGCCAGGGCTCACCCATGCCCAGGACTCGGCAGGGACAGGGCAGGATTAGCAGCTGATGCAGGACACACGGGCATGGCAAAGGTCGACAGCGTGTCGCCCGCGGTGTGCCAACATCGACCTCTGCGTGTGAACGCTGGCTAATTAAGCATGTCTAATAGAGGAGCAGGGATAATTAGTGTAAGAGGGACTCCAGACATGCCGCGGTCACTGCAGCTAATGACACATTCCTGAGAGGTGCTGCGGAGGASGCAGCGGAGGGCAGCAGGGGCTGGGATGTGCTCCTTGCCCCGTGCCAGGCATTGCCACGGAGCCCAGCCAGYCTGGTGGGGCTGCTGCCTGTGCCCAGGGGAGCGTTTGAGCTTGGRAAGGAACTTTTCCTCAAGCAGAGCCCGCTGGGAACAATCAAGCAAGAGCGGAGAAGGCAAAGTTGGGAGGCTGTACATTAATAACTAAGGAGTCCGTCTCCAAAGCAGGTGGAAAATCCGATATTTGGTGCACACTTTGCAGTGTCCGAACCAAACCCTCACCATTGGGGGAGACCCCGGCAGCTGCCCCGCTCCACCAGACGCATCCCGGGAGTCGCYCGCCTGCGGGAGCAGCCCCAGCCCACGCCGGCTGCGCGGCTCCTTCACACTCGGCTGAGCGCGCCGGAGAGTGTGCCGTGGCGGGGAGGAGGAGGAGGAGGAGGCGATTTGTTCTGGATTCACTAACGAGTGATGATGAGAAGCGGAGGGGCTGGGGGGAATAACAACCAGCTTCCCGGGAGCTTCCCGCGAGCTTCCCAYAGCTATTATCCAACTAACCCTCCGAGGCACGGGGGAAGAGGTGACAAACAATCGGCAATTTCCCTGGGCACGCACACGGCTGCACGCACATCACTCATCAGGAACAGCCCTGCATCCCAGCATCCCTAAACACTGCGCTGCCTGCTCGGCATGCGTTCCCCGATCCCCACGGACGGTGCCCAAGTGAGTCCCTGCGCTCCCCAGAGGGGCAGGGGAGGTGTAAGGGATCACGGATCCGTTTTCCAGCCGGCTGAGCCGCGCTGTCTCTCTGATAAACTCTCAGCCGTGAATATCGAGCGCCGGTGTGGAGGAGAGCAGGCAGGAAGGCTGGGAGGCTGCTCTGGCAGGAAGGCAGGAGGTGGCTGGAAGAACCGGGGGGTGGGAGCCATCCCTGGGCACCGCAAGAAGCAACTTGCGTCACCTCCCTTCGCGCGGGCATTTTTCTTTTCTTGTGGCAAATTAAGAACCTTTCACTAAATCCTCCTGGGCAGCACATAGAGGTGGAGAAGGGAGAGCAATGATGAGCACAGCTGGCAGCTGGAGAGTGGCTGGTGTGTCCCCCATGCAGGAGCCACCTGGAGGTGATGGGACAGTGCCACCAGCACATGGGACATTGTCTCCCCTGGAGCTGCTGCTCCTGAGAGCATCACAATCAYACCCATCCCTGTGGGGTGCCTACTCTCTTCTGAAGCCAAACCAGACAGGTACTGGTGACACAAAAGCATCTCCATGTTGGCAGCTGGAAGCCAGGCAGTTGGATTTCCCCTGTTTTTTTTTCCAGCATTCACTGTCTGGCTGTGCGACCTCTTAACCCATCTCCCAGGGCGTTAAGGAGAGGCTGGGAAGCACCAGGAGCCACATGCAGTGATGATGCTCCTTCCTGTGGCTCTGCAGCAGTGAATRGAAGGAAACCTTTGGCTCACAGCCTCCTTAGCACAAAAACATTCTAAATTTTAGGAGAACAATGGCCCAAACCTGGCTAAGAGGCACACCCAAGCGCTCAGGGATTTTAAGGTGTTATAAGGAATTCGGTCCTGGCACACTTACTGCAAAATTGTATTAAGTCCCAGCTCCAGGTGGGAGGGCAAGTGATGCACAGAGAGGAGCTGATGCAGCGAGTTCACCGCAGCACAGCCCCAGCCTGATGATAACAATCAAATTACTATGTTTATATATATTACTATAATTAAATGCCCAATAATCACGAGGGCTTCCCACAAAACAGGATCTGAAGGCCTGATCCTGCAGGGAAAGAGGAGATTATCCTGCGGGCASTCCGTGGTCTGGCGGACACAAGGAGCCGCGTTCCCCTCGGCACGCCCGGGATGGGGTGGGGTGGGTGGTACCTGCGAGCCCTCGGTGCCCGGCTGCCGCAGGAGTTTGACGGTGCGGCCGCTGTCGGGGCGCTGGCTGCGGCCGTCGTGCCAGGTGAGGCTGCTGCCCGGGTTCCGCTGCAGGCGGTAGCTGAGGTTTTCGGCCGACACCGTGTGCTCCAGGAGGCTGCGGCAGAAGCTGAAGTGAGCGGTGGCGGCAGCGGCGGCTGCAGAGGGAATGGGGGTGAGAGACGGCCATGGTGCCCATCCATCCCAAGCCTGGGCACGCAAAAATGCCTTTTTTACCCCGCAGTGCCTGCTGAGCTCAGGCTGTGGTCCCTTCTCTCCAAAATCTCCCTGTTCCCGCCTTCCTTTCCCATTGCCAGGAAGAAAATCCACCAGCCCAGGAGCCGCCAGCTGGCGCCGGGATCCAGCAGGCACCCGACAAGATGTTTGCCCACACAAACCCCTCACGAGCGACGTTTGTTTTGACACCCGCCAGCCGAGCAGACGCGGGACCCACAGCCGATCCCCGACACGTGGAGAGAACCTCCTGCTTGTCACTGCCACTCTGTGGGACAGGCACCGGGAGGGGGCCAAGGGAAGCCGCTTTCCACGGACCAGGCTGACAGCAAAATGCCAGCACTGAGGGAAGGGGAGCAGAGGAACCCTCCCTGGGCAGCCTGGTGGGGAAGGGYTGGTCCCCCAGCACAGACCATGGGTGCTGGGGACAGCTGCTGTGTACCCCAGTGATAGCTGAACACACCCCCTTCAATAATGACCACAAAGAGACATTTACCCACAARTGCTTTTTGCCCCTTATTCACAGARTCRGAGAATATCMTGAGTTGGAAGGGACMCACRAAGATCATTGAAGTCCAWTTCCTTGKRTTTTAACAAGCTGGGGRTGTTGGGGTTGCAACGAGGTTGYAAAGCTTTCCTTTGAATGGGGTTGAAGGGAYCCGGCTGTTGTGGGAGGAGGGTGAGTGGGTATTAGGGGCTCATGCTCTGTCTGCTCCGGATAAAAGCCAGACGGCTTGACATAAGCAGCTCTGATCCGTGGAAGCAAAGACCAGAGCAACGCCCAGCTCACCTGCTCCCACCCCAGAGAGCCAGACAAGTCATGAACCACCTCCAAGAGCAGAACAGCACCAAAAGTGACCCACCTCCAGGATAAACCACCCCGGGAGAGCAGGAGGGCTGGAGAAACCCTGTTGCAGCTTATTTTTCTAATTACTGGGTTTTAAGAGGGAAGRGGTTTCAAAGAGGTCACTCAAATACACCTTCGTGCAAAAGCGAAAAAAAAAAAAGTCAAAATAAAGCAGGAAAGGGTTGTCCATATATCCCAGGATACYCAGACCACATCACACAGTGTTGTTTCTTAAACACACCCAGTGGGAAGCATTGCCGCGGGGAAACTGAGGCACARGACCTGTCTGATGGCTGGGCAGCACAGGGGTCACCGGGGGCTTGGGGCATTCGGRATGCAGGAGGAAAAGCAAAGAATGGGAGCATGTAGGAGCATTTTGGGTCAAGGAAAGGATGGGGACAGAGRAGCSCCTTGGCAGGACAGCCCTAGGCTGRCTCSACGCRGGGACACGGGGGTGACACTCAACCCGGGCTCTCCTCTCCTTCCCGTGCCCTGTGTGGGGAGCAGCCACAGCTTCCCCAGGAGCGCCCGGCCGCCCTCCATCCCCTCCGCCCCTCTCTGCTGAGCCTGGCTGTGCCCTCCGGCCAGGAATGCACACACAGCATCACCCCCCGGGGCCCGCTGGCCCCACAGCCCCCCGGCCATACCCCGCAGACCCCTCACCTGGCTCGGGTGGTCCCTGCGAGCTGCGGATGGTGGAGACGCAGCAGAGGGATGGCCGGCCCTGCTGCATCTCGGCAGGAGGAGGGATGCGCGTGAGCGCTCGGCACCGCTGTCACGAGTGCGGCTCCATCCCTGCCTCCCCTCATACCTCGTCCACACCTGACTGATTCCCCCGAACGCCTCCCTCCCACTGCCTCTGAGCACCGGCTGCACGCTCATCCCAGCTCCGGGCAACCCCGAGCCGTTCTCACACGGACAGGGGGGTGAATTTACACCCCCTCCCCACTGCCCCGTGGGCGTTTGATCCGGAGAGATGCTCGGTGCTTTCCCGTGGCGATCCCGCCTAATCCCGCGGCAAGGCCAGCTGGCAGTGGGATGGACGGGGAGCCTGACGGGGGTGCTGCAGGGGACACCGGACCCACCGGGCATCCCTGGGAGAGGAGCCATGGCACGAGTGTGGCAGCACCGGGGTCACCGGCGGCTTGGGGCATTCGGGATGCAGGAGAAAAAGCAAAGGAGCGTGGTGATGAACAACCTTCACGGGAAGGGGCTGCAGGGCTCAGGGTGGGCTCCACCTGCTCCTGGCCAAAGCCAGCGTGGTTATGGCCATGTTGGGGTGCGGGCAGAAGTGGGGTTCCCACAGAGGCAGCACAGATCGGAGAGTAAAGGCTGTTTTGAATCCTGAAATGGGAATGCAGGAACATTCAGGCTGGCTGAGTGTGAGCTGGAGTGGGGAGGGGACAGCTCAGCTCAGCTCCCCAAACAGCCACTGTGCCCCCACTGTTCTGAGTCCCTACAAGCTGGTCCAGGGTCCCTGTGCCCTGTCTGCCAGCCCCGTGTGACTGACACCCCACTGCCTGCTCGCCGCCGGGGAATCGCTGCCGGCTTGTTTCCATGGCTCTTTGATCCATTTTGGGCATCTYTCCAGCCACACAGGGAGGGGAGGCCAGGTCCGGGTCACCGCAGGGAGACCGGCAGCGGTGGGACAGGGTCTGCAGCAGCGACAGGGACAGACGCCGCTCCCTCCCCTCGCCAGGCACAGCGCTGCTCCCACTCCCGTTCCCTCTCCAGACACTTTTATGGCTGGTGAAACGTGAGCGCTGGAGAGGYTCAGAGCAGCAGCAGCTGCTCTTGGGGAGAGGGACGGAAAACCTCCCGGGGATGGGCACCTCGGGGCAGGATGGGGCGGCATTCACCGACAAAAGCATTTCCATGTGGGAACCGAGGTGGGCACAGGTAGATCGCTACCAACAAATTGGCTGCCAGGTGACTTCCCACGGGCGCTTCCTGCTCGCAGGTGACCAGGACCTGCCCCGGGGACACGGTGGCAGCAGCCAAGCTGCASGAGGAGCAGGCAGGGGCACAGTGAGGGGAGCCAAACGCCTGGACAGGCAAAGACTGCCTGACTCCTGCTCTGTCTTCTGCCACCGCTTCTCAGCATGACCTCAGGAACACCCCTGTGTCTTTGATGCCATCGCACGTGTGGCTGTCCCATAGACCTGCCCTCCAGATGGGGACTTGTCAGCAGGCAGCTGCAGTGGGGGCAGTCAGGCTTCCCGGGGTCAGACAGGATTCCCGGGATTAATGGCAGAAGCTTGAAACAAGCTACACAAGGAACGAAATCACTTTGCTGGCTCGCCTGGCTGCCYGTGTGTGACGACCCTCAAGGGTGGGTGGTCACACCGCATTTGGGAGGGAAARAGACGTTTAACACCAAATACATCGAGGGATTTGCTCATAGCTGGAGGTGGATTCGGGGAGCTTGTGGTCTCTCCTGTGCTCCTGCAGGCAGGTGAAGGGTGGATGGGACCAGAAGTCTTTGAGGACTCTCAGGACAGGGAATTTGCTCAGTCCAGGGAACAGCCTTGTGAAGAACTCATCTTGGTTTTAGTGGCATCTGCATGAGCCATGAGCTTAGCAGGCATTGCCATTGCCCTGGTCCCCTGTCCCTTCCACGTGGCATCACCCTGGTGCAGGGCAGAGCTGCTGCTTGCGCTGGTGGAGCCTCTGGATGATCATTCCAGTGATGCTCTCTGGGATACCCCAGCATATCCCATCTTTGAATCCCTATAGGATGGACCAGGTCCTGCCCTGAGCTATTCCCTAAGACCTGCTGCCCCTGAGGAATATGAGACCACACTCAAAGAGGACTGCCACCCCCTCCAGCCTCTCCTGGTTTCCCTGGGGTGTACTTGGCTCAGGCCCTGGATGCAATGAGCTTCACCTCAGTGCTTCCCTCTGAATTCCCTGCTTATGGAGGTGAGATGGGAGCCCCGCGCAGGGACGGAGCTCAGGCTGGTGGCTGCCCACTGCTGGTGCCTCCYGAGGACAGAGGAGGAAGGGAACAAAAGGGACATGTCCTTTCCATCCTCCCTGTGCAGCACAATGGGTGCCSTGGACATTGAGGAAGTGGTAATGGGGTTTGGAGGTGGCAGTGCATGCCTTTGGGATATCTGTGCTCCTGAGACTCCCGTGGGTACTGCAGGAGGTCCCTGAGCACCCCGTGTCAGAGGATTTCTGTAGGGTTGGACAGTGTGAGAGTGTGAGGTGAGGGTAGAGGACAGAACTCCAGGTGAGAACTCTGGTTCTCCTGGCAGGAGGCAGAGGTGGGAGCCCACAGCAGGGACACCCCTGCCTGCAGCGAGCCCCCTTCCACCTTGACATGCTCTTCCCAGGGGTTCTGCCCTGCTCCAGCACCCCCAGGCCTGCCTGTCCTGCCCTCACACCTGCAACCCTTCGCTCTAGCCAAATTTCATTGGTACACCACAATATCGGGGTAGTGCAGGGGACAGTCCCTCCCCAGAATGGGGGAGCAAAGGGGGATGTGGAGGGACTGACTGCCGGGATGGAGAGGACAGCACTGGCGATCGAGGGCAGGCAGAGCCCCGGGATGGAGGGGGGAACACCGGGGGAGGGATGACAAACAGACCCCCGGCATGGAGGGGGCAGCACCGGGGGATGGAGGACGGGCAGACCCCCAGGATGGAGGGGGCAGAATCGGGGAGAGATGAAGGGCAGCTCCCCGAGATGGAGCGGATCCCCAGCTGGGGGAAGCGCGTCCCGCCGCGCACCTGAGCCCCCCCGCCCGCGCCCGGTACCTTCCATGTCCTTGGGCCGGCCGTAGCTCATCCTCCGGCAGCGGCGCCGCGCTCGGGCGGGGACGGAGCCCCGCGCCCCCCGCGCCGCCGCCGGCACCGGGCGCTCCCGCCCGCCCCGCCCCGGTGTCCGCGCCGGGGGCGGTGCCGCGATCCGCCACCCCCGGGGGCTCCGCCCGCCGCCGGCCCCGCGCTGCCGCCCGCCCCGAGGATCCCCGAGCATCCCCCGATCCCTGCTGGGGCTGCGGGCATCATCCCCACTATCTCTCCCCAATTGGGGGAACAGGTCCTTGGGGACACCAGGGTGCGGTGGACACCATGGACAGGTTTTTGGTCATGTTTGCAGCGGGTACAGAGCGGAAAACACCTGGTTGTTGCCTCCTTCCCAAACGTCTCTTCTCCACCAGACCTCCAGCTCCCTGGCTGGGTGACAGGGGGCAGGCAGAGGAGGGTGCTCATCCCTGTGGGTGCTGCATGGGCTCTGGTGGGCGGTCTCAGCATGAGTGGGCACYCAACAAACCTCACTGGTGCTCGGCGCACCAGCATGGAGCAGAAGGTGTCGCCAGCACTCATCACTCCCCCGGGGTGACAACCCCACAGGTATTTTTGGAGGTGCCTGCCTTGAGCTGTCACACCTGACCCCCAGCCAAGGACAGTCCCTGCCAGCCCCTGCAGTCACCGAGGAACTGGGCTCTGACTCTGCACCCTGTGGCCATCCTGCACCAGTCTGGGATGGAGGTGGGGACACCCCCAGGTGCCCAGGACAAGGACAAGCAGATGCCTGTGCTGCCATTCTCCACCTCTGCAAGGGTTCTCTGTCACAGACCCACTGCAGCACAGGACAGCACCCTCACCCTTGTTTTGAGAGGAAGAACACTCAKCTTAAGCACACTGTGTGATGCTCACAGCCCTGAAGGCTGGGAAGGTGCAGCAGGTGGCAGTGACCTTCTACAGCCCAGTGCTGGGTTTGTGTGGCTGTTCATCGGCCTTGTACAGCTACGGCATAAAACCCTCTTGGATCCGGGCTGTGCAGCTGTGTGTGTGAGCGAAGCACTTGCCAAAACTAAATTCAGCTCCCCAAATCAATAGGAGCTTTCCAAAATTTTGGATGCTCAATCAGGAGCAGCTCTGGATGAGGCTCAAGCCCCTGACAAGGCTGGATGCTGGCTCAGCTCTGYGCTGGGAGCTGGCCAGGGCTGAAACATTCAGCGAGCCAACCATGCTGCCAGGCAGGGAGYGGGGACATCGAGTCACAAACCATGCATGTCGTGGGGACATCAGGCCACAAACCCTGTGTGTAGCCTGCAAAGGGTCTGCCACTAAAAGCTTGAGAATTCCTGGGCAGAACTGTCATTGCTCCACCTGCTTCAAGGGAGCGGGCAGGGCAATGCTGCTTGTTGCAAGCAGATAAAGAAAGAATGTGTTCTCCATCCATTTGAATTTTCCATTTTTCCCTCAGTCTTTGTCTACACACAGAGCTTTTGAGCCACGGCAGAAATTTGCTGAGAGAAATATAGTTAAAGAGGGGCCTTGGCAGGAAAAGGCTGATATCACTTGAGAAATGTGTGCAGATTACACCAAGCTGTTATTAAAAATAAGTGCTGCGCTGTTCCCAGGCTTYGCTTTCCGTGATTTTTCTGCTAGTAATTGCACTTCTCCAGGAAAGGTTTCACGTGTCCAGGGGTTAGAATTTATTTCCTCCTCATCTGCAAATGAGCCTGGTGCCAGCCCAGCATCCCAATGGCCTGGGGACAGTGTGGTGGAGTTTGGGTGCCTGGGGAAGTTCAAGATGCTCATCCATCTGAAATTCCAAAGGATTTTCAGAAAAACCTTGAGCCTCGGGCTGCGTGGGGAGGGTTGGGGAGGTGGTGTGGTCCCACACACTGCCACAACTGCTCCATGCTCCAACCATCTTTGGCTTTACAGCATGCAGCATCACTCTTGGGCTGTCACTCAACCCCTTCCATGGTGAGGC